ATCTATCTATCTATCTATCTATCTATCTATCTATCTATCTATCTATCTATCTATCTATCTATCTATCTATCTACATATATAGCGATATATGTACAATATATATAGAATGTAAATATAACTACAATATTTGCTTTTATAAATAATTTCTTCTTTTTTCTGCATTCAGATAAGTGTAGACTGCTGGCAACTAAACAACTCAATTCTTCTGAAAAATGAAGGACTTAATTCACCTTTCTTTTGATGGGTGCATATTATACTCCTAGGAGATAAAATTCATTGCTAGGTTCATGACATTGTTTTAATTCTCTTGTAGTTATTGCCTGCATTTATATCTCATGCTAAGCTAAAGACTGACACTTGGTCACTGATCTAGGATATGCACCATGTACAAGTACATACACCTATGTAATCAGTTTTTATGATATTCATTTTTATTTCAAAGGAATATATTTTACTTTATTATTGTTACTTTCTATTGCTCATCTATGACATTTTAGCTTTGGAACAATTCTTGGAGAGATGAAGAAATAAAGATTTCTTACTATAAAAGAATGCGTAGGGAGAAACATGTTTTTTCTTTCTGTATAACAAAGTAACATGGTGTATTCTCTCATGTTGTGTCTGCGGTTGGGTATATATGTGCATTTGCTCCAGATCATGTGTCTAGGAGAAAGTGAGCTTAAAACGGAGCCAATATTCTGAGTCACTTATGCAACTGCCTTTCTTGTAAAGATGCAGTAAGGACTTTTTCTCCTGTAATATTTGTAATCCTTTAAAAAATTGTATACACTAAAGTAGCAATTCAGTGTTTGTTTAAAACTGTATCCATCTACTTAGTAGAAAAAGAAAAAAGTAGTCTGGATGTTGGCACCGTCATGAAACGCAGGCTTTAGATAAATGCACATTTCATGGCTAATAATGTCCACTATGCTAATCATTTCATGAACAACCATCCCATGGCAATCATTCTGTGAGATTGCTACAACAGGCTCTCAAAATTTTAAATGGGCTAAAAAACTAAATTAAATTGACTCAATTAAAGTGACCACCCACAAAAATAGTTTTGTTACATTTTAAGATTATACTCCAGAATATTACATAATATACAGAAACAAGGTATTTGGAACAAATTAATAATTGTTATAGAACACAATGTGCGCAATTCACAATTATCACTGATTATAGATATCATTTTTAAACCTTTTATCCTATGACCTAGAATTAAAATTTGATATATAGCATCAATAAAGATATATTATTTTATTTTATATTCTACCATGTTCCAATGATGTTCCTAATTAATAAAAATCAAGATGTCCTGTAATTGTGGCTAATGTAAAGCTACTTTTTAAAAGGTGGAAGCAAATATTTTCCTTCACTAGCCATTTATAGACCAGTCGAGGGACAAAATAATTCTGACAACAGGAACAGTTTTATGAGCATTAATAAATTGGTAAATGGATTTTTATATGAATCAAAAAATGTAGGTTATTTTTCAGAATGAATAGAATACTACGTGTTCATTTTTAAAATGGAATTCTGTTCTATTCTATTCTCAGTGGCGCATATTTCTAGTTGAAGAAATACATGTTTTTCTACTTATTCTTATTTTAAACCAAAATGTGGTAATACAGTCATGATTGGGACTCTCAAATGCAGGATGAGAAAAGGCTAATCTTTGTTTCATCCATGCAAGTCCACAGAGCTTGAGAAACAGAAATGCACAGTTCTGTTAGACAGTCACTTCTGGACTTTATATTATTTTCTGCACTTTTCATTAGGCTTTGAAAAAATGCTGGCATGTGTGAAAATAAACTAACTTACAATAAGCTATGATTACAGACTCAGAAAATTTTACCACTTTTAACCAGAATCTGATCTATGTACAGCTTAGCATTGTACATGATTTCAGTCATTGTATGGAGGTATGTATACATCACTATTTGACAAATGATTTATATTATATTACATTCTGAAAACAAGACTTTTTTGAATTAGTTCAGTGAAAACTTATTTTTGTATTTTTCTTTGCCTTACTTAAGCCTGTACAACTGCATCATATTAATAATGTACTCCAGCATGATCTACATTTGCAACTGTTTTCATGACAATCTGCAACATTTCAAGGTCTCAAAACCTAACATAAATTTATAAAAGATATGGTTGACTTTACATAATGTTTTTGGGGTCCCCCCTTATATTATTATTTTTTGCTCAAAATGAGAATCAATCTTTAAATAAGTCCCCAAGCTTGAATTCAAACTTTAAAACTCTTCTAGAACAGCATTAATTACAAAAATACAGATAGTATTTTCCCATTAATATGCTAGAGATTGTCAATTTTCCATATATACTGTTTAGGACATTGATGATCTACACATGGAAATAAATGCACAACAAATGGATATAAACCAAGTACTTAATAAGAATATATCTGTTTTGCAAGATTGGTTGACAATAGTGATCAAACTGTGTATTAATTTAAATCAGTACAGTATTAACCAGGATAACTCTATTACATTCACAACAGCATCTGTTAAAAACAAGTAAACACAACACTTGCATGTTATCTGTCAGGAATCCCGGACTGTGGACTGGCACTGGACCATGGCATCCCAACTGGGCTGCACAAACAAGCAAAGCCCCATCCACAGGATGCAAGCAGAATATAAAACCACACCCCTTCTGATCTGTAGAAAAACCTTTCTCTATGGAACCGGTCCCTGGTGCCCAAAAGGTTGGGGGGCACTATTATAGGTAATAATTGCTCTAGTTGTGCAATAATTGGATTTCAAGACTGGAGTAATTCATTTCTAGAAAAAAGTATATTTTAAAAGACAAAATAATTCTAGCACCCTGTAGTGGAGAATAAACTTAATATGCCAACTGATAATTTATTCACAATTAATAAAGGGTTGTAGGTAATATGGGCATTTAGTCCATATTATTTCAGAAACCTAAAATAGTATAAATTGTTTCGGGCTTCCATGAAAACCAATTATGTTTCTTCATTTTGCATACTTAAATACTGTGGTGGCGCAGTGGTTAGAATGCAGTACTGCAAGCTACTTCTGCTGACTGCAGTTCGGCAGTTCAATTCTCACTGGCTCAAGGTTGATTCAGCCTCCCATCCTTTCGAGGTGAGTAAAATGAAGACCCAGATTGTTGGGGGCAATATGCTGACTCTGTAAACTGCTTAGAGGGGTTTTTAAAGCACTGTGAAGTGGTATATAAGTCTAAAAGCTATTGCAATTTATAAACTTCACAGCAATGATTTAGAACTAATAGGAAGCATAGATATTTTTATCTGAAAATGAATGCACCCTGATTCTTCCCTTCTTTGGTCTCAAGAAAACCATATTTTTGTCCACTTAGATTTATGTGCCATCCAAAACAATAGAGACTAGGCAACTGATACTTTGGAGTCAGATCAGGATTGAGGGATAGCTGGTTAGAGAGATTTTCTCTATTCAGATTATATGGGAAAAGCTGCTGACTTTATTTTTATTTTATTCATACTTCATTTATCTATACTTGCTTGTCACAAGAGAGTAAAAAAATAAATAAAAATTCAACCTCCCTATTAGCAAAAGAAGTTAAAGAAAAGTAATATATAGATATAAAATGGGGAATATCTGATTTGGTCATGTCTGAAAAACTTTCAGCACCAAAGTGAAGATAAGTTAAAAGAGTGAAACAGATTTTGAAAAGAAGCTGGTCCTGTATAATACATTTTTTATTGGCTAGACCACACTTTTTCATTACTTAAAATGTACTAACTTGTAATATGTTTACTTTCTGCGAACCTTCACAATTTGTCTCTACATCAAAGTAGCATTTAGATCCAATTATTGGATTGTAATTTACAAACTTTTAAAAGAAACCTGAATAGATATAATAAAAGGCAATGAGGATGATCAGGGAACTAGACACTAAAACTTATCATGGCATAAAAGAGGAATTGGACATATTTAGTGAGGCAGCATTTGTTTAAAAAAAAATCAAAAAAGATTCTCTAGAATATGTGGCAGCAATAATGCTAAACATCTTTAAATCAGTCATGTCTGTTTTTCAGGCTTCTACAGGAACCTTTTTCCCTCATGAAATGTCAGAGAAAATCCTAATGTTTGCCTTAGTGTTAGGTGTTGACATGTTATACCCTGTGAAATTTTATAATTTATTTATGCACCAAGACACAGGTTGGGTTATCACATTATGCATCTAATATGAACCAACTTTT